TTCTTATTAAGGAGTATTCTTTTTTTAAAATGTCTATTATTTTTAAGAAAGGGAGCATGTGCACAGTAGGGCAGGGAGGGGGTGGGTGGGACAGAGTGGGCTACGCGCTGACAGCAAAGAGCCCCATGCAGGGCCTGAACTCGCAAATCCCAAGATTATGACCTGAGCTGAAGTCCAAAGTCTGATGCTTAACTGACTGAACCACCCAGATACCCCCAATGAAACAATGCTTATTAAAGTGGTGATAGAACTCCCTGCAAAAGATCAGGAAGAGACAGTCATTATGTATCTTTATAAATCCTTTCACAGGCACCACTTTGACCCTCAAAATTATATTTTGAATTCATTTAGGGGAAAATGGTATTTCAATTTTAGAGATCAAGAGGCTTCTAGGAAGTACCTTGGACAGGTGGTCCAGCCCTTAAAAGCCTTCCAATCCTGTCACCTGGGCACCATCTAGATTACCTGACCCCCTGCCTCTCAGGAAATAAGAATGCTGAGTGGTCTCTGAATAGGGTGAGGTTGAGGTCCAGGCAATGAATGATGGATACATCAATGATCATGAACCAACACAGCAGCTAACTGACCCCAAATCAGAAATTCCTGACCTGGCCGTGGCCCAGGGATTGCCAATGACCCCAGGGATGGATTCTCCCATCATGATGAGAAATGTCTGGGGGCACCTGGGTGGCTCAGTCGGGTAAGCATCCTACTTCGGCTCAGGTCATGATCTCACAGTTTGTGGGTTCAAGCCCCGTGTCGGGCTCTGTGCTGACAGCCAGCTCAGAGCCTGGAGCCTGTTTCAGATTCTGTGTGTGTCTCTCTCTCTCTGACCCTCCCCTGCTCACACTGCTCGCTTTCTCTCTCTCTCTCTCTCTCGCTCTCTCTCAGAAATAAATAAAAACATTTAAAAAATTTTAAAAATCATTGAACTTACCTGAGTGGCTCAGTCAGTTGAGCATCCAACTTTGGCTCAGGTCATGATCTCATAGCTCACAAGTTTGAGCTGAGCATCAGGCTTTTGGCTGTCAGCATGGAACCTGCTTTGGATCCTCTGTCCCCCCCCCACCACCCCAAATAAATAAAGTAAAAAAAAAAAATCAGTGAACTTAAGTTCCTCATTAAAAAGTTAGAGGGAGGGCAGAGCGCCTGTGTGGCTTGTCAGTTGAGTGTCCAACTCTTGGTTTTGGCTCAGGTCATGATCTCACAGTTGCAGCCCCACATCAGGCTCACTGGTGTCAGCCTGTCAGTGCAGAGCCTATTTCGGATCATCTGTCCCCCTCTCTCTGCCCCTCCCCTACTTGCACTTTCTCAAAAATAAATAAAACATTTATTAAATAAATAAATAAATAAAAATAAAAAGTTAAACAAAGAAGAGAAATTTAAATCCAAAAGAAGTAGAAATCAATGATATAGAAAATGGACAAGCAAGAGAAAAACAATGAAATCATAAGTTGATTTTTTGAAAAGATCAACAAAATTAATAAACCTTTATCTAAGATGATATGAAAAGAAAGAAATAAAATATGAAAAGAGAAGAAGAAGGAAGGGAAGGGAAGGGAGAAGGAAAAAGAAAACATAAATTACCAAGATTGATAATGAATGGAGGAGATCACCACATATCTTACAGACATTAAAAAATAAGTAAATACTATTTTTCAAAACTTTTGTCAATAAACTTGACAACTTAGATAAAATGGACTAATTCTTTGAAAGAAACAAATTACCTACATGTATTTAAAAACTTAATTCATAATTTAAAATGTTTCCAGAAAGAAATCTCCATGCCCAAATACTTTCAATAGTGTATTCTACCCAGCATTTAAGAAAGAAATAATACCAATCCTATACAAAATTTTCCAAACAGTAAAGGAAGAAATATTTGCCAACTCATTTAATGAGGATTGCCTGGAATGCCTGGGTGGCTCAATCAGTTAAGCATCTGACTCTTGATTTTGGCTCAGGTCATGATCTCATAGTTGAGTTAGAGTCCCATGTCAGGCTCTGTGCTGACAGCATGGAGCCTGTTTTGGGTTCTGTCTCCCTCTCTCTCTGCCCCTCCCCTGCTTGCTTTCTCTCTCAAAAATAAATAAAACTAACTTAAAAAAATAATAGGGATTGCCTAATAAGAAAGCCAAAGACATCACATACTAATATCTCCCATGAACAAAAACACAAAAATCCCTACTAAAATATTAGCAGATACACTACAGCTGTGCAGAAAAAGGATAATACCTCATAACCATTTGGATTTATCACAGGAATACAAGGTTGGTTTAATATTTAAAATATGAATTGGTGGCTCATCATATTACCAAAATAAAGAGAAAAAATCATTATCATCTTAATAGATACAGAAAAGCATTTGACAACATTAAGCACCCATTCATGATGAAAAACTTCTGCAAACTATAGAAGACACGTTCCTCAACCTGATGAAAGGTGTCTATGAACAACAGATAGCTAATATCACGTATAACAGTGAAAAGTTGTATGCTTTCCCCCTAAGATTGGAAACATGGCAAAAATGCCCACTCTAATTACTTCAAGTTCAATATTGTATTGGAGATCCTAGCCCAGTGCAGTAATAAAAGAAAAAATAAATAAATAAAAGGTATATAGGATTTAGAAAGGAGGAAACAAAAAACAGTAATTCACAAGTGAATTCACTGTAAACCTAGAAAATCCAAACAAATCTACAAAAAAGGAACTTGTAGAGCTAATAAAGGAATTGAGCAAGGTCATATGATATGAGTTCAAAATTAAAAGGTCAACTGGATGTCTATATACTAGCAACAAACAATAGAAAAATGAAATTCAAAAAATATCATTTACAATAGCATTAAAAAAGCCTTAGGGATAAAGTTAGCAAAATATGTGCAAGACCTGTACTGAAAACTATAAAACACTGCTAAGATAAATTGAGGAAGACATAAATAAATGGAGCTAAAAGTCAAGGATTAGATGAGTTGACACTGTTAAGATGCCCACTGCCTCCAAACTGATCTATAGAGACCATGCAATTCCAATCAAAGTCCCACATGGCTTCTTTGTAGAAATGGGCAAACTGGTTACAGAGCTAAGATGGACATGCAATGGCCCTGTAATAACCTAAACAATTATGAAGATAAACAGANGTTCAAGCCCCGTGTCGGGCTCTGTGCTGACAGCCAGCTCAGAGCCTGGAGCCTGTTTCAGATTCTGTGTCTCCCTCTCTCTCTGACCCTCCCCTGCTTGCTCATGCGCGCTCTCTGTCTCTCAGAAATAAATAAAATATAAATTAAAAAAAGAGAGAGAAATGTCTCACTCCCCACTGTCACAAAATATTCATTACTTCAATGTATTTCTTAGCATGAAACAGTATGCTTATCAAATAACTTTAAAGATCCCACCTCTTTGCGTCTCCAAGAGTCGGGGTCAATGTGAAAAACACTCTGGTCCTTCAGGCATTCACCACTTTACAGAACAAGGACCTTCAAAGATGGATATGGATACATGCTACACCTGTTTTCCAACAGATTTTACAACAAGGACAATTGGGGAATTAATAAATTTCTGGTGCATGAGAAAACTACTTGGGTTAGAAACTTAGTTCCTCCGCAGTGTCCCACTCGTTTCCTCAGTTACCTTGATCTCCACATTTCTTTTTAGGGCCTCCTAATCACCCACTTGGCTCTCGGGGCCACAATGTCACTCCGTCACCAGCCCAAGATGAGACAGACATCGGCTGCACTACCATACCTCACCGGCAGATGCCGCAGGCTCAACACGGGACAGCCAACTTGGAACTTCCTACCAACCCAGCTATTTGATGCCTACTGTATACTTGAAAAGAAATCCTCTAGGCGCTTCAGGTCAACCCCGCACCGGATGGCTCACCTGGACAAGCGTGAGGATTAGATTAGATCGCATAAAGTGCTTTGAACAATGAACTGAATCGTAGTGTCAAATTATTACCAGCCCAAGGTGAGGTGACAGACACCGCCAGGAACTTGGGTCCACCGCAGCTGTCTCAGCAGACTGGTCAGGGCCCAGGGCTTGCCTTCCATCCAGCCGGGGCCCTTTCTTCTTTCTCCTCTCGCCCTCCACTACACTGCTGCTATGGCCTCCAATTTGGAATCCGAGAGCTGGCTCCTCTACGGCAAAGCGGCGGTAGTTGTGGGGGTCGGGATCACAGTGGAGCCGGCCCAAGAAGGGATGCGGCCACATCACCGGCCACCTACAGGAACTTTTAGAAAGGAGGCAGGCCGGGAGGTGGCGCGGTGGAAGCAAAAGGTCTAAACTCAACATTAAGTTTCCTCCTGTGACCTTCGGGCTCGCGCCCCAAACGCACGCGAGACCTACGCCGGGCTCTTCTGCCACGGGCCGGGGCGGGGCCTCTGGCGGCACCTGGGGCACCTGGAACGCCGCGTGGTCGGAGGGCTGCACCTGCCTGGGGCCGGCGGTCTCGGGATCCGGCTCTGCTGTGCCCCTAGCGTGCGGAGGGCCGGGGACGACCCTCGCAAGCAGAGCGCCCCAGTCTCCGGCGCGCCTCCCGGGCAGGCACCGGGGCGCCCGCGCCCTTGGGCTCTGGCCGCACTTGGCGTTCCGGCCCGCCGCAGGCGCACGCGCGCGGGGAGGCGCCACGTGCTGCGGCCCTGAGCGCGGAGGCTGCGGCCCCACGTGCGGGCAGCCCGGCCCGCCGCGCGGACGCCTCCTCCCCGCCGCACACGTGCGGGCCGCGGCCCCCTCCCCGCGCCCAGCGCAGCAGCGCCAGCGGCCGGGATCCCGGCTCCAACGCCGCGAGGCGGCGCGCCGGCTGCGGAGGGCTGCCGAGGGGCGGGGCTGCCGCCCGCATTGTTCCTCCCCGAGCGGCGGGCCCTCCCCTTCCCCCAGCCCCGGGCGGGGCGCGGGGCCGCCGTAGCCGCGGAACGTGGGCTCGCGCCCCGCCTTTGTCTCCCGGGCGCGAGCCGCCGCAGCCCCGCGCCCCGCCGCTCGCTGCCGGAGCCGCTTTGTGCCGCGGCGCGGGGGACCGTGGCGTGGAGCCGGCGGGCGCAGCCTCAGCATGGACGTGACCGTCTCGGAGCTCATGGAGCTCTTTCTGCAGAGCCCGCTGGTGACCTGGGTGAGTGCTCCCAACTAGCTCCCTGCCCTATTGTTGGTGCCCCAGCGGTAGCCGTACGCTCCCTTTTCCCGGGGGTAGCTTCCGGAACGCGAGGGACTCCGCGAGTGCTCCTGCCCAGGGTCGGGGTCGGAGTCCTGGGGTCCGGAGGCGTTTCCAACTCGGGAGCCGGCGCGCCGGGTCCGGCCGGGGTCTGAGCCGGTACACCTGTTCCCACTCGGGCGCTGGGCTGTGTCCCTGCAGTGGACTGGGTCTGAGTAGTTACCTGGGCCCCCCGTGGCTTGACCACTCGAGTAAAGGACCCACTCCCCAAAAATATCCTCGTGTAGTTTCGGAATCCCTGAGACCGGGTGGGTGGCGGTGGTGATTGGGGGGTTCTGAGTGAGAACGTGTGCAGACAGGGGTCGGCGCAGTCCTTTCCAGTAGATTTGAGACGTGAGAAATTTATTGAAAACTCCCTTTTGGGTTTTTGTTTTTCTACTCCGCCCTGGAACGTTGGAGAAAAGCGGGGAGGAAGTTTTCCTCCCGTCTGGCTTCTGTTGCCTGGCGCGCGGAGCGGGTAGAGGCCCTGGGAAAGGGTGGGCTTGGTGGTGCCTGCTGAAGGGTGGGTGGGTGTGGGTGACCCCGTTTTCCTACACCGGCCCCTCCCGCCTTTGCCCCGGAGACCTTTAGACTGTGCGCTTGGGGGTGACTTTTTCTGCCTTTCTCTTCCTCTCCCTTTCCCGGCAGGTGAAAACTTTTGGCTCATTTGGAAGCGGCAACCAGGACAACCTGACAATGTACATGGATTTAGCAGACGGCATCTTTTTGAACCAAATCATGTTGCAAATGTAAGTTATCTTCAGGGAGAAAGGAGAGGATGATAGTTCAGAACGTTGAAGGTTGTAGAAATGGAACGTGAAGTTGAAACAGGGGGGTGCTTTGCAGGTGGGGTCCCTGGTATCTCAGTATGAAGGCGACTTGTTGCCATTCTTCGGGCTGCGGAGCATTCCAGGACAGCAGGTTGGCAGCTTGTTTGGTAAAGGAAATTTGAAATGGAATGACTATCATCCGCTTGGTGTAGATAGCACAGTGGACTTCAAACTCAGATATTTGAGGTTTGAGTCCTGAAATGGAAACAAAACCAAACAAAAACCCTTTTGGGGGGCAAGGAACTGTGACGGAGGGTCTAGTTACAGGAAGTAGCTAGGGTGGACCCGGCGCATCCGTGAGTGACTATAAAGTTTCACTGTGGGTTGGGATACCTGTGTTTCTGATCTCCTTTCCATTTCATCTGACATTTTCAGTTGCCCCGTAGCAAGTGCAATTGGTTAAGGCCCTTCCCCTGAACTGGATTTGAAGTCACTGTGTTGAGAGGCCCTTGGAGTCTTCATGCTGTGGTACTGTTTGTCTTGAAGCACTGGTAGCTTAAACAGGGTGTCGGTGGAAGTTACACATGCTAGCATGTGTGACCACATCCTTTCCTGTTGCTGAATTCTGCAGAGCCTGTTTGATTGACAGCCTGCCACATGTAGGTGTTGGCTCTTACCACTGCATTCTGTTTTTAACCCAGAAAGTACAGGGAACATATTGGAACTGAGCTTCAGCATGATTCATGGGCGCTTGAAGCAAAATAAAACATCCTAATGTTCTCTGTGGATCAGCCCCCTTCTGCCCACCTACTCACCTGCTAGTAAGCGAGTTGTCATACTTGAACACGAACCCATTAGCTAATGAGAATCAGCTTTGCGGCCCACACAGGAGGAGCACTTAGCTTCGGCGTGTTCAGAAAGTGGTTTAAATAGATCTCCTTAAAAAGGCCTGTTTTTAAAAATTCCCTGGGAACACTCCTCCTTTTAGTAAGTCATTGGGTGTCATGTTGTGTGAGAGACACTTCAGTTTGCCTTTTTTTTTTTTTTTTTTTTAAAGGCACAACTGATCTTACCAATCTCGTGTGTGGTTAGATGCTAAACAGACAGATCTGTTGCCAGCTTTGGCAGCTCTTGTCTGAGAACGCTGATGAAAACGAGCTTTCCTGGGGTTGTCACGTGGCATATTTAAGTTCTGGCAACTCTGCCCCCGTTTTGGTGGACCCCGAAAGTTACTGGATTCTGGTGGTGCGGTGACCAGTGTGTCCTTAGCCAAGCCCAAGACTATTTAATTAAAAACAGCAGTATCCCCAGCCTTTTCATTCAGTTTTTACACCCAGGCCGAGAGGAGAACAAAAGCCCTGGGACTGTTTCTCTTTCTTCCCTGACCTTTGGAATTCCTGAAGCGTTTACCACTTGTTTGTAAATCAGGAGAGCCTGCTGGACCATTCCTTTGACAAATGCCAGCTCATCACTCGTTCACACTTGGCCCGTGGCTAAATTCAGTTTGAAGGGCTTCTCCGCTTCCCTTGACAGTTTTAACATGGTCTCTCTGTGATATGCCAAGGTAATCATTCTAGAAGCAGGAGCTGATAAGTCCGTGGCTCTTAAGGCCTCAAGCCGTGTTTCTGGTGCCTTCTGGCCAGGGTCAGGAAGAGAGGAAAGGATACCGGGAAGCTGTTTGGGTGGCTTTCCGGACGAGGAAATCAAGGAGTGAGTGGCTCCAGTAGCATACAGTTTACTGATTGGATGATCAGAATAACCTTCTTCCAGGTGATAGAAATCAGAACATTGTTCGTACCTGGAGGTGGGTGGGGGTCGGCTGGAAAGGAGACACAGGTGAGCTTCAGGGGATGGTAATACTGTTCTGTATATTGGATGAAAGACTTCAAGCTATGACTTATGATGTATGCCTATGACTTATGATATATGCATTTCACTTTATGTAATTATCTCAATTTTTTTTAAAAAAAAGCGTTCCAGCCCTAATGTTGACAGCCTAGGTAGCCAGCCAGGGTTTGAACCCTAGGTCGGCTTATACTCGCCAAGTGAGGCTGGGCCCACCGCTCAACACTTTAGTTTGCTCAGCTGTAAAATGGGAAGTAAAGTGCCTCCTTTAAGTGATGATCGTGAGCATTAGAAAGGGGATGATGTGTTGGCGATTAGCACGGTGCTTGCCACTTAACAGGTATTAGTGTCAATTATATATGTGCCATCTTAATCCAGAACGGATTTGAGGCACCCCGTAGGAGTTTCTCCAGTCTGCCTTTCTCTCATGTTATTAGTCTCCCAGATTACTGCATAATTCTTAGCCTTGGTCCTTTCTCCGTGAGTGCGAGGGCACAGCTGGGCTCTGGGACTCGTGTCCATGCCCCGTATCTGACACCGCCCATACGCCTCTGTGTTCACTTGTGCCAAGTGGAGAAATGTCAGACTAACTAGCCAGTAAGTGATAAGGCTGTTCTGTCTTATCTCCTATGCTCGTAGCTCCAACTGCGTGCTATTTGCCTATTTTGATAAATTCTCCCCAAGTCGGTAAGACCTGGGAGAATCGTAGAGAGCTGTGCGCTAAGTAGGTTGCCGGAGCTCAGATAAGAGGCATGTTACCTAACACTTCAGAGCCATATGGACGCCGGCAGGGGTCACGTGGCTGCACCTAGGCATTGTCTCTGGCAACTGAAGAAGGCTGCCGTAGTAGTCTCTTGGCCCTGGCCTGGCGGTGACATCAGTGCCTGGAAGCGGGAAAGCCCTGTGGGCTCAGCTTTCAGGGGGGGCCCAGGTCCAGGAGAATTCTTGAGTGAAAAGCATTGAGTGGCTTGGAGCAAGTTGCATGGGGCACCCTGCTGAATGTTTCCTCTGTAAATGCTGCCTTTCTGGGCGATCTCCTGGTGCCCAGGGGAAAACAAGATTTCTGATTCACTTTGGACACGTTTCTCACTATATCGTAGCAGAAGTATTTAGGCACTTGTCTGCCTAATGCTCTCTGGATCCAAGTTCACAGTCCCCTCTCTGCCACTTACTAGTTCTGCCACCTTGGGCAAATTAAACTCTCTAAGCCTCGACTTCCCGATCTGTAATAAGGGGATGGGGTTTTATAAACTTGGGAGGACTGAATAGGACTGTGTGTATAGAAAATGCCCAGGAAGTGTCTGTCATTGTTGGAAGTGAGGCCTGGGGCCGAGTTGGTGTGTGCGCCCGCGTGCCTGAGCGCATCTGTACTTCTGAGAGCAGACACCTTCTGATTTGAGGCGATGGCTGTTGAGTGCGGTTGGGAACTTGGGATTGGGGCCTGAGAGTTGTGCTCTCACAAGGCTTGTGGCAAGTCCAGCACTATTTGCTTTATTCAGACTCCCTTCTTTACCTCTGGTGCTCCCTGCAAAATTCAGGATCTTTTTCAGGGGTTGGAAACCTCCCCAGGCCAATGGGAGAGTTTCCTAAGTTTCTAAAAGGTTTTTGAAGGATAATTTTTCCCCCTAGTGTGCTGGAAGAGGAGTTCTGTTCCCATTCTGCATGTGTGAAAGCTGAGGGTAAAAGGGCAGGTACTTGTTAGTTGAATGGGTTTGTGTTGGCAGGGAAGTATTGGAGCAAATAATTTTTATTTGTGAACTTCTATGATTTCCTTTTTTGGCTACAGAGTATGACACTCTTCATGGGGGCTTTGAGTCCTTAAATATTACACCAAGGGTCGCCTGCCTGGACAGTTCAGTCGGTTATGCGTCTGACTTTTGACTTCACCTCAGGTCATGATCTCACGGTTCGTGGGTTTAAGCCCCAGGTCAGGCTATGTGCAGACAACTCAGAGCCTGGAGCCTACTTCGGACTCTGTGTCTCCCTTTCTCTCTGCCCCTCCCCAACTTGTGCTCTTTCAAAAATGAATAAATGTTTAAAAAAATTTAAAAAACAGGTGAGCAAGAAAACTTACCTATAATTTTTTTATTTATGTTTTACAAATAGTTTATTGTCAAATTGGTTTCCATATAACACCCAGTGCTCATCCCCACAAGTGCCCTCCTCCATGCTAAACTTACCTATAATTTTACCATGTAGAGGTAGTGATACTAATCTTGTGTCTTCTGGTTGATGGCTGTAGTACGTGGGTATATGTTCCTCAGTGTATTTTAATACAAACTTGGGCTCATGCTGTTGTTTTTTTAACTTTTTTTTTTTCCTGTGCTATATTGTGGACATTTGCTCTGTGTCAACATATTTCTTGATTCAGGTTTAAATTTTGGAAGTCTTTGGAATATAATCAAAAGTTGGGGGCTGGCTTTCACAAAGGAGGAGGGGCAGGGTTGCTATAAACCTAAATCATAACTCTTTAAAATTCTAGGGCAAGTTGATTTCCTTTTTTCTAGTTAGAAGTTTTTATGAGAAGGAAGCCCTGGGGGCCCGACACTTTGGACTTGGGACTCTGCAAGTTGGGACACACTACCAGGTGTCGCGCCCCCAGTGCCTCTCTCCTGCCCTCTGACATCTGATATGGGGCCGTTGGGCTTTCGCATTCTAGGGCTGTTGTGGAAGGAAGATCCTTGTTATGAATGATGGCTTTGGGGGACATGCAGTTGTGCAGTGGTTATACGCTGTCCTCTTCCTGAGATCTAGGACCAAGTACGGTCCAGGTGTGCAGGTGCAGACCTGGCCTTCGCAGAATGACAGCCTAGGCCTGGATGGATCCTATAGTCCTTTTGCAGGTGAGCACCCTGGGGCCCAGAGAGCCTTGGCGAGTCCCGCATCCCGGACTGGAATCCGTGCCTCCTGACCCATTTCCTGCAGCACAGAAAGGTGGAGGTTACTCAGTGCTGGGAGAGTGAGGATGAGCATTACTTAACCCTGGTTGACTTTTGTTTCCAGTTGTTTCTTCATAACCTCTCTACCCTGAGAGCCTCAGTTAAAGGATGAGAGGACTAATGATTGCGCTAATGAGTCTAATTACTCCTAGGGTTAGCATCCAGGCGCTTTTGGAGTGTTGTTTCCTTTAGCTGAACTGTGAGAACAAAAGCCGAGATGGTCAGAGGCTTCCCTGCTGTTTTCTGAGGGACGCCCAGGCTGCCCCCCCACCCCGTGTGTGTGCTGTGCCTTTGCCCCCGCAGTGAACGAGAGGTGTCCCACCGCACGTGCCGAGGCCGCTGACTCAGAGCTGGGACCACAGTAGCTAATCAGAAAAAGCCCTGCGTGTTCTCAAAGTTCAGTTTTAAGAAGTACTTTAGTCACATTATTGTTGAGTCACAAATTGTTTCCCCTCTCTTGAGCTCCGTAAGGAGAAGAGAAGTGTGCCTTTGAGATAAATTATTTGTAATGTTAGGTGTACTTCTGTAGCTAACGGTGCTTTTGCGATTTAAGTTTTGAATGCCGCCTCTATTCCTTAAATTAATTTCCACTGAACTGTTAACCTTTGTTTTCTCACTAATGAATGGCTCCAAGAGAAACCTAACGTGCAAATGGCTTGGCCAGACTCCATCACTGTGTGGGGACAATAAGACATGTTGTCACATGATGGTTGAAAAGAGAGTCCCTGGATGCCCCCAAGGTACCCCTGTGATGATTTTAGGGGATGCAGGATGTTTGAACAAGATCCGTGGTTCACTGACAACACATAACACGCAAAGGGGTTTGTGTACACACGATACAGGGTAGGGGCTCGTGGCGTACATGTCAAATGTGTCACGGCTGAATTCCAAACAGTCCTACTATTTAAAAAAAGATTGTACTTCCAGTGACATTTAAGAAGATTTCTATTTGTAGATTTTTTTTTTTTGTCAGTTTTCTGTTGATTTTTGGCTTTGGGATGAGTCGTGTGACACAGAGGTTGATTTCCTTAACCCCCCCATTTCTGTGCTCACGTCTCCTGTGGGGCGATTCCCGAGGAAGGGGCTGACTCTGCCTTCTTTCATGCCACCCCCGGGAGGTTCGGCATCCTCTTCATGAGGCCAGGATGACAGATGAAGCCCTGAAAACAGCCCTCATTTCAATTGGCTCTCCATGTGGAGGATGGGACGGGCATCTGGGGGGATGGGGGGGCTTGGTTATGAAAAGCATCATGTGGTACCTGGGAAGGCAGAAGCTAAATTTCTTCTCCTGACTTTGTTCTCTTCACGTAGGAAACATTTTTGAAAAATGTCCTGGAGGTAGATGAGTGGAATGATAAATCACTTGATTCAGATTTCTAGTTTTATCACAGCTGGACTTGACTTTTGCCTGAGATTGGAAAATAAATGACACTTTAGGGGTTTCCCACGTGAATTATTTATATTTCTGCTCTTAGCCTTTCTTGCTAAGGGTGCCTTGTAAGCCATGTCCTGTCACAGACTCGGGTTTCTCAGGGTAGAGTTGTGTCCCTGAAATGTAAATCACAGGCAGCACAGGCCTAGACCAATCTGCTTGACGGGGTTGGGGAGAGGGGATCGAACTTTAATGATTTTGATTTATTGTCAAAATATCTTTTTTTTCCCTTTTCCTTCTTGGTATTTCATATATTTTGGTCTGTTTGGCTTTTAACATTTATGTTTTTAAGTCTATTTTGAGAGAGGCAGAGACAGCATGAGTGGGGGAGGGGTAGAGAGGGAGAGACTGGGAATCCCAAGCAGGCTCCCCACTGTCAACACAGAGCCGGAAGCCAGGCTGGAACTCATGAAACTGAGCTCATGACCGGAGCCGAAACTGAGAGTTGGACACTTAACCGACTGAGCCACCCAGGTGCCCCTTAACTGGGATGGGTCATTGGTTTTTATATAGTATAACTTTTTGGGTCTGCACTGGCATTTGGTGGTGGATTATGGGTGCTCCTAGCAGTAGGGATGGAAATAGCATTGCCTCCGGGCCTGTGGTGGGCTAGGTGCTATGGGATGGGGGAACAGGGAGGTGATGGGCCTCCTCCCCACCCCTGCCAAGGTCCTGGGCTTGGTAGTAGCGGAATAAGGATTTGACGTGATCCACGCTGTCACAGCTATGTACTAACTGAGGCTGGAGCACTGGCTCTCACCTGGGAATGGGGTGCATGGCAGATGCTGGGATATAAGGTTTCCATTCTCTTCCTCCTCTAGAGACCCCAGGCTGACAAATCAGCGCATCAACAAGCACGTTAACAACGACGTGAACCTCCGCATTCAGAACTTGACCATCTTGGTGAGAAACATTAAGACCTACTACCAGGTAAGGGCTGGGAACTCCGTCCCCCTGGGGTTCTGCTCTGCAGCCGGCAGTATCGTCACTCAGACGGTTTCCCCACAGGAAGCCGAGAGGAAATGGTGCTCTTGGTGAGGCATCGACTCGCTAACGCTTGGTGTGTTTTCACCATGCTTGCTGTGCATTTTTTAGGGGGTGTCGTGAGAAGGGTCAGATGTTGGATCACTTTGTCCAGTGAATGTCCTTTGAGCTCTATGCCCAGCATTGTGTGTGGTGGGGGTTCCCAGGGACGGCCCTCCATTCACAGCCGCAGCCTCGAGCATGTAGCTGAACAGGGACCGGCCCCAGGAGGGGACCCCTGATGTGGTGTTGCCCACAGCTCAGTGAGCGTTTGTTCAGGGGCAGCTGCAAGGGTTGAGGTAGGGAGGGGACCACAGAAGGGTTATACTTGAGCCCCCAGCTTGCAGACGGGTTCATGGTGTGGAGTGTCCGCTTGTCAGGGTCTCCTGTGTCTCACCGGCAGATAGGTGATGGGTTGGGCAAGGGGGCCTGATGGGGAAAGGCTGTTAGAATCCCCATCCCAGCCTTGGGAAGGTCAGGTGACTGTCTGACATTGATTGTAAATAGATTTTTAAAAAAAAATTTTTAATGTCTATTTTTGAGAGAAAGGCGGGGAGACAGTGTGAGCAGGGGAGGAGCAGAGAGAGTGGGAGACAGAATCTGAAGCAGGCTCCAGGTTCTGAGCTGTCAGCACAGAGCCTGACGTGGAGCTGGAACTCCCAGACCGCGAGATCATGACCTGAGCTGAAGTCAGACGCTCAACCGACTAAGCCACCCGAGCGCCTGGATCGTAAATGGATTTGAACTGTGTATCTCAGATCCCTGGTTTTCAGACTTCTTAGCAGTGTAACTTCTTCCCCCCTGTGCATTTTTCCCAAAGCCCCAAGTGAAGCTCTAGTGACTCTGGTTGACTTGAGGGACCCTAGTGTTCTCTGCTCAGCTCCCTCCTCTCTCTCTGGGGATCTTGGTGGGTTCCCAGGACCCCAGGGAACACCGTCTGAGAACCACTGCTCAAGAACAGATCTTTTCCAGAATTCATGCCATGGCTTCACTGATTGCTTGGGCAGATTCTGCCTCTGGGACCTATTCCTAGCATCCGCCTCCTGGGCTGTAACTCCATCTCGGTGCTGGGGTTTAGGGGCATCGTCAGAGTGGTGAGGTTCCTGCAGATGTGAGGTGGTCGAAGGCTCCCTCTCTGCCCTGTATCATGCAGTGGTTGCTGGCTCTGAGGAGAGCTGAGGCCTCCCGCCGGGCTGTGGTGGCTGCAGGGGCCCTTGTTCTGACCCAGTACGAATTTGGGGATGGACAGGAAAGGGAGGGAGTGGCCTGTGTCTGGTGTTTTCTGGTATGATTGTTTCCACCCTCTTCTCCTCAAGGTCGGGGTGTGTGAGAGGAGGCTTCGGTGCTAGGATGCTACCCCAATTCCCAGTGTGGCCAGTTCCGCAAGCCACCTGAGCTCGTTCCATGCACCGTCGGTGGCCCAGCACCGTGGACTCTGAGCAGCCTCTGGGAGACAAAGGTCCAACCACCCCCTTAGTCCCAGGTTGATGCCAGTTGTGCTGAGGAGGGGGCCCGAGCCAGCTGGGTCTGTGGGGAGAAGTGGGTTTGTTTCCTCACCTGAGGGGTGCCACACTCAGGGCCTGGCCTGCTGCAGGCAGGCGGGAAATACTCTGCTCGTGTTTCCCTGGGGGGCAGCCACAGGCACGGGAAGCTGGGTAAAGGTGATTGGCCTGCCGGTGAACTTGAGTCTGGGCATGGAGGGGGCTGTTCAGCATGTACTCAGGGCTTGATCCCTGTCTGCAGGCACTGTTCACAGTGAGCGGGTGCCTTCGATGGTGGTGTGCTAAGTGCCAGGAGAAGTGGTTGGTGGAGACAGTTCGAGACACCAGACCTTTAAGCCCTGCCGCAGGGGTGGGGAGGGGGAAGGCTTCTTGGAGGAGGGGCGCCTGAGTGGACTCCTGGTAGGTAACTGAGTTTCCACGTTTGGAGCATCATGGGAAGGAGGAAAGAGGAAAGGGTGTCGAGGCAGAGAAAGACCTGGAGGCATGAGACCGGTTTTTCCTCGATCTGTCAGGGGCCACACTTTCCGCAGCTGCTCAAATGTAGGTCTGCTCCACTCCGTGTCGGATGAATCCGAACAGGGGAGGGTGTGAACGTGAGAGATCCCGAAATTCTGAACCAGCTTGTGAGGCTGGCCGGGGCCAGCCGCTCTGTCCATAAGTTGCCAGGTGTGTCCCGGACCCCAGGTGTGGCTGGGAGGTAGTGACCTCTCCCAGGTGGCCCCGATGACGTGGAGGTCAGGTGGAGGTGATGGCCGTGCAGGTGATGGCTGTCCTCGGCTCCTGCTGGCGCAGGAGGTCACGCGCTGATGGTGAGCAGTGGCTCCCGACAGTCTGGCCAAAGGGAGCTTGATGCCCATTAGAGCCAGTGTCCGTTTGGAGGCGGGTTGCTGCTCTGTGTCAAGTTCCAGAAGATGAGAAACGGGGAGGAAAGTTTCTAGTTCTAATGCACAGCTAGTCCGTTCTCAGGGCCCAGGAAGTCTCACAGGTAGAAGGGAGGACCCAGTACCCTTGTTCTGCTTCTGCACTGGTAACTCTCTGAGGGCAGGGGAGCAAGTATTTGCTGAAGGCACTTGCTCAAGGCCTCAGAGCCATTCTGGGCCCCTAGTCCTGCTTATGTGGAGAAAGCTAGCAGGCCTCTTGCTTTCTGGGCTGACACCGGTTAGTTGTGGGCAGTTGTGTGTATTTTTTCCTTCTGATTTATTGTAAAACTAAGCTCTGGTCCTATAAGTAATATGTGCTTTTTATAAACAATTTGGAAAATAAACAAGTAGCAAGAAAAGAACCACCCACAATCCTGCCACCTAAACAATCCCTATTAACGTTTTTACGGTTTCCTTCCACTGTTTGCATGAATGGTTTTTGTTTTACACCGCTGTGGTCATGCCGTATACACAATTGCATATCCTGCCTTTTTTTCCTTCCACCTGACATTCAAGTGTAAACATAATTGGTTATTATTATTAAAGGTCACTCAAGAAAAGCTTCCAAGAGAAGTACAGCCCGAGTCCCTTTGTGAAAGCCGTCCTGAGGGCTCAGGATGAAGCAAGAGAAGTGTCGTTCCTTACTGTTACAAGGGCGTCCTGGAAGGGCGAGAGGTTGCCCCCGAGGGAGTGGGACCCCCGCTCAGCTGTGGCTTTTCAGTAGACTTGAGACCTTGAGCCTTGCCTGTGGCTTTTCTGAGACGCTGAAGTCACAGAAGCCAGCCTTGGGTCTTGTCCGCCAAGCAGTGTTTCTGCCCACTGGCTGTCCCCTTCTTTTCAGAGGCACTGTGGGACAGGGACAGTTAGAAAGGATAGGGACCTCACTTGAATAGAGTGGGCTTCCGTCACAAGGAACCTCGAGTTTTGGCTCTGAAAACCTTTGGAGACAGTGATCCTTGACCTTCTGCTAGGGCAGAAGATAGACGGTGGGTAAAAACCAGCATGGCCAGGCTCGGTCTGACCATTGGTGCTTCGGCCATGTCTCCGGCTGCCTCCTGACCCGCTGTTTGGACTTCGGTGCCGTGGGGGCCTAGAATCTGCATTTTCACAAGTTCTCCAGCTGCTAGTCTTGCCATCCTTCCAGCAGGATTGGGACTCCCTGGGCTTTCCCAAAGTGTGGTTCCCAGGCCACTGGCACCGTCATTGCCTGGGAACGTGTTAGAAGTACTGACGTCAGGCCCCTCTGTAGACCTCCCCAGGCTGGCAGTCTTTTTTTTTTTTTTTTAATTTTTTTAATAGTTTATTTATTTTTGAGACCGAGAGAGACAGAGCATGAGTCGGGGAGGGGCAGAGAAAGAGGGAGCCATGGAATCTGAAACAGGCTCCAGGCTCTGAGCTGCCAGCACAGAACCCGATGCGGGGCTCGAACCCCCAAACCACGAGATCATGACCTGAGCCCAAGTCGGACACTTAACTGACTGAGCCACCCAGATGCCCCCGGCAGTCCGTCTTAACAGGCCCTCCAGGTGATTCTGATGCACACTCTCATGGGAACCAAAGGTTTCTAGTGATGTCCAGAGGAGGCCCTTTCAGCCAGGTGACTCCTGTCCATCTGCCCCGGGACAGTGAGGCAGAGGAGAGGGCGCCTGGTTTGCTCGCTGACTCTCACCGAAGAACAGGCTGGTGGTCCGAGGTGGAGGTAGCAGCTCCAGGATGAGTCTCCGCGGACAGGACGCGTGCTGAGGCTCGGAGGGAAGGCAAGCTTGGACCAGAACCGTCTGGGGCCCCCAGCCACCCGGCTGGCCAGCCCTGAGCCCGGGACCGCGTGATGCTTGTTTCACTGCTCAACAGCCAGCCCCTTGTGCATCTGAGTCTCTTAAAAGTTAAAGTTTGGATTTCTAGAACGGTTCTTTTTTATATTCAGATTCTTGAGTATTGATGTTAAATGCGTGTTCATTTGACAGTGGGGCCAGTCGGAAAGTACGGCTAGTGAACACGGAAGTCCCTGGTGCAGCAGTGGCCGGCGTGTGTGTGTTCTTTGGAGTTTGTGCACGAGTGTCCCACTGCCGTTACCTGCCCTGGACGCTGCACCCTTGTGCCGCCTCCCGACAGCCAGGGCCTACTTGCCATGTCAAGTTTCTGAGGGTTTTTTGGCTTTATGCTGGCGGGAAGCACTTCAGAGGCCTGGATAAATTCAGCGTGTGGATCTTTTTGCCGGGTACACACATCTCTGTCCTGAAATCGAGACCCTCAGGCGGGTGTACGGACCCACCTGCAGAACTTACCCTGAAATGAGAAATTTGCGCAGTTTCTTTGAGTTTCTTTGATCATGTGCCGGAACAGTCTGCTTTCCCTCTCTGGGCCGCCTGAGCCCTCCTGTGTCAAGAAGAGGATGGGCCCTCGTGGGCCCCAGATTCCACAGTCACGCGATGGCCAGAGACATGACAGGTCCCCTCAAGGAAGCTTTGTTTTACGAGTTCCTTGA